GTTCCAGTACATTCATTTTTTTATTGGATTCAAGTCAGGACTGGGCCGCTCCAGTACATTCATTTTTTATTGGATTCAAGTCAGGACTGGGCCGTTCCAGTACATTCATTTTTTTATTGGATTCAAGTCAGGACTGGGCCGCTCCAGTACATTCATTTTTTATTGGATTCAAGTCAGGACTGGGCCGCTCCAGTACATTCATTTTTTATTGGATTCAAGTCAGGACTGGGCCGTTCCAGTACATTCATTTTTTCTTTTGAAACCACTCCAGTATGGCTTTGGCTTTGAGTTTCAGGTCATTGTCCTGTATAATAGCTCAGGCACACAGTGTAGTAAATGTTAACAGACAAAAATAGGATAAATTAAACTCAATTGTGATTGAATAGTTATATATATTACTATATGTTAATTATTGCCTATGCTATTATGTATGGATGATGCAAATGCCATCCCTACTATTGATTTTTTTTTAAATTATTGATATTAGCCATCCCTACGTTTACTTTCCTTTTTGTAAAGTTTTTTCTTTATTTCCACATCATTAAGGAAATTGTGGAAACTTTCAACAAACATCTAACTGAATGTTACTTTATTTTATTACTGAAGATATTTTTTCTTGATTCGGGTTGTTTTATCAAAACATCTTTTTGATACATCTGTCTCCATATACGGCATAGTCTTCATGAATGTTTCTATCGTTATGTATATTAATTAACCGCATGTTCTCTCCTGCCAGAGCATGCGCAATGACGACCAAATGACAAGCAGTTGACACCCTCGAAAGCGAAGATAGCCATACATAATGGCCTAAATTTGGTAATTTAATCAATGTATGTATATAATAGACGAATGGAAGCCGAATCTATTGTGTTTTTTAGCTAGTGTGTTAGTTTTATTCAGTTATATCTCATATTGCAAATGATATCGTTGCACCAATGCAATCACACTTGAACACACACACATTTGTTTAAACCAGATAAATCATTTACCTCCCTAGTCCTCTTCCGGAGAATTGGGGGATGATTAAGAGCATAAGGTTATTTTGGCAAACACTATTTCACTTTCATGGCAAACCAAACAATATAAAAAATACTTAATTTTGTTGAATAAATATACCGTGAAAAATTATAAAGATTATTGAAACAAGTTCCAAGAGACACATGCTCTTTATGTGTGTGTTATGAAATTCTAAATAGCTAGAAATGTAAGACTGGAGTTTCTTAAAGACCACCCTGTCCTTGGTTCTTGGTGAAATTTCGTATTGGTCTCAGTATAGTGTTAGAAATACAGGAAAGAGCAATCCAGAAGCAATGCCAGGCGTTTCTTTCTTTTGTGACGACCAGCGTTTCTTGTTTTCACGTACCCTCTCCCTGTGGCTCAGCGGTATACTTGAAGGCTTATAACGCTAAAAATAGGGCTTTGATACCTGTAGTAGGCACAGAGCGGATAACCGATTCTGTAGCTTTGAGCTTACCAAAAAACAAACAGACAAACTTTTCGCCATCTCCTTGCTGTAGATGAATAATTAAAATGTATTTTAAAATACTGTACTTAATTTGAATAATTATTTTAATTAAAGACGTATAAATGTCATTAAATAATCTACCAGTGGTTGCTAGAAACACAAATAGGTCCCAACATTAGCAAATTAGTGTGTTTATTTACTGATATATATATACATATAGAAATGAATAAAAACCCTATAACCCGAGCGCTGTCGAAAGGTCCACTCGCGTTATAGGGTTTTTATTCATTTCTGTCAAGACTTCTTGAACCTACGTGTTTTTCTAACTCATGAATATATATGTATACACAGAGATACATCAACTAGGGCCCAATATTACCATGACTTCTACTCCCTCTCTCTACAAGCCTACATTATAACACATAGGTTAAAAAAATTAATTAAAGACAAAAATAAGAAACCGTATAACCAGAGAACTTTCGAAAAGCAGACGTGTCTTCCTAGTTTGTCCCCGATGAACAAAAGTCTATTTTTCCAAAGCGCTATGATTATAGGGTTTCTTATTCTTCTCTACAAGCATAACAGTATTTTAGCACCGCCATCTGGTGGCTGATTTGATAGCATTTACCAGGCTGCTTTTTTAACTCCACACTTTGTGACATGTTCGAATGTTTTTAACTTTTTGTTTTTCTTCTTTTTGATATGGTATCATATCGAAATAAAAATGACTAAACAGGCAAATAACAAATTTCTAAATTTTCTTATATATCACAGAGAACATTCTAAAAATAAATTACGTTAGGATAGTGAATTTACTTTGTTTCAGCAGAAGTCTTCAAATGTCAACAAAAATACACAGAAGTGAGAATGTTATTTGTATTATAAAAGATTAAGCATAGATTATAATACAAATTTGTGTTTAGAAGTTTAGAAGATAAAAGCTGAACATATATATTATAACAAATTTATTTGTTTTTCCATATAATGTTTATAAGCATCGTTATCTCTGAGCAAGTTGCACAATTTGTGTTATAGCATTCTTTGTATTACCCAGAAGAAACCATTTTTGTTTTTAATTTTGGATATGGTAACTTGGAAAGTTTATCAGATTTTTAAAAGATTATTACATAAAATAAAATCATTCTAGAATACTATAAAAATTTTGATAGGGTTTCTTTGCATCGTCTGTTACCCCCAGTGGCTAATGGTAAGTCTGAGGGCTCATACCGCTAAAAAGCGGGTTTCGATACTCGTGGTGGGCACAGCATAGATAACCTATAGTGCAGATTTGCGCTTAATGACAAACAAACAAAGTAATCTATTTTTCGCCATTGTGGCTTCACCAGGTCATGTATAAAATATTAATTTTTGTACGAGTTCTGGTAAATCTGTAATGATGAAATTTAGATAACAATAAGTGTTTGTTTTTTTGAATTATATGGAGAGTACAGATCATTTTTTGTAACTTGTACTGTCAAAAGTCCCTTCAGTATGCACTGCGAATTCTGAAAAACAACAAATGATTATGTATTGTTTTCGGGCCGGCATGACCTGATGATTAGGACATGCTCACCCTTTCAGCCGTGGTGCGTTATAATGTTATTGTCAATCACACTATTCGTTGGAAAATAGTAGCTCAAGAGTGGGTGGTGTTGACTAACTAACTTTCTTCTAGTCTATTACTGCTAAATTAAAAAGGGTTAGCGTAGATAGCCCTCTTGTAGCTTTGCGCGAATTACAAAATAAACTATATATTGTTTTCTATTTAATTCCAAATGATATATGTTTATATATATATATATACAATTTACTACATTATAAAACAAATATTTTAAACAATGGGGTGAGTAGAAGTCTTCAGTGATGCTGACTTATGTATTTGAAATTATTTCTACTATGGTATCGTATTTCGAGAAAATTGTTTTTAGCAATGGATTTAAATACAAGATTAACCAAAATATTTACTACTTTGGTGGATTTAGGGTTAGTACATCCTCAAGAGTTAAGGTATGTAGAATCTTTTGATTTAGTTTCAGCATTCTAAACTATTTTAATTTATAAGTCGTGCGTATGTTATCGTAAACTATCTTATTTATGCATCAATTTTGTAACTAAACACAACTCGATCTATTGTTATAGGGACAAGTTGTACTCTTACTCGTACTTACAAAAAATATAATTATAAATAGGCTTAATAATAATACATTTTACAAATTACAAAGCCTGCGTAAATGGGTTTGAAAACGAGTTGCGTGGCATGGTTTCTTTCTGAAAAGGTTCATGAAATGCTGTATTGTTCAGGTTTTAACTTTTATATTTTGCAAATGCTCCAAAGTTGAGATTTTTGTAAATTAAAAAAAAAGGAAAAGGATAACAACGGGTGAGAACAGAAATATAAAGTAAAGACGCAAAGTAAAAATTCTGGGTAGTTAATGCTGTAAAATTAATATTAAATTGATGAGTATGATGAAAGAGTTATAAAACTATAGAAAAGTGAAGTTTGATAATAATAAAAAAAAAGAACTTAAGAAATCATAAAGTATTTGGGTAAATGTTGCCAGATAATGCTAAAACTAAAAGTTACAGTAATAGTTAGGATTTTTTAAGCTTGTTAAAAGAGAAGTGTTAAATGAGGTTTAAAGTTAAACCCTTAGAGGATATGGATGGCAAAGTTTTTTATTGAAGACTATGAAACATTTGAGCTTTCAGATATTCTCATTAGTTTTTACAAAAGAAGACATTAGTATTAGTAATGGTCCTAACCCTAAGCATTCTATCATCTATGGGAAGTATTTTATTTGACCTGAATCATGTAGATCAAGTCTCTTGGTGGCATGTAGAAATGGCAAGAGTTTCATATTGAGATTCTGTTTTTTCTTTAGATCATTTATTTATTAATGGGCTATTCTGTTGCATTTATTTGTAGATTTTGTATTTGATTCTTTAAGTTTTTTGTATATATTTTCTACTTTTCTGTTGCTTTTTAATTGGGGTTTTTGTTATTTTACTGTCTTTTTTTTTTTCTTGTATGATGATTTTCTTGACTGGTATGGCTATTTCCTTTTCGTGGCTAACAAAATTTTTAATGTAATTTACATTTTAGTCCATGGCTTTGCACTATAAAATGCCAACCAACCAACCAACCAATTCTTTTATAGAATTCATGGTATCATTAGGAAAAAAACTACAGCGTTAAAAATTATATTGTATTTTTATGGTGGTTTTTGACTTAGTTTTTCTTGTATTATGGTGTTCATTAAGTGTTTGAATGTGTTTTTACAATGTGAATGTTTTCATCTCAATAAATATTCTAATATATGAGATGCAAATTGATCTTTGATAGTTATTTTATTATTTGTCACCATGTATTTTCAATTAAATTTGAATTTGTCCGTGTTTCTGAATTTACAAAAAATTTTGCAGCAATTCACTATGTAGTGTATGCTTTCCAACAATCTGTTATTATGTTGCTCCCGAGTTTAACTTGTCTTTGTTAAAAGTTTGTGAAGTTCTGTATTCTACCGGTGTTGGGAAAAGTTCTCGTTTTTTTTTACATATTCTTTTTCATATATTGATTTGTCACTTTCAGTTTTGTAATTTCTCCACACCCTCGTTTATTTTCTGTTTGTGTAGTGTTTTTACTTGTTACTTCTCTTGATTTTTGCTGTTTGTTGTGGTGTGTGTGTGTGTCACTCTCTCCATATTTGTTGCCTTGTGTGTGTGTGTATATCGGTAGTACAGTTTTTCCGATTCATATTCTGAGTTTTTGAACTATGTATTTTTTACTTGGGGTATCATATTTAATTAGTTTTTTTACTTTCTCTGCAAAATCATTAGTTACATCTAATCCCATAGTTTTGTTTTCTATTTTTAATGATTTTTTTTTTTTTACATGTTGGGTATTTCTGTATTTTAGGCAGTGTTACTGTATTTTCATCGTTTAGGAATTGATCAAGATAGCCTAATAAGTTAAGATTTTTCAATAATTTGGTGTTTATTATTTGGTATGTTTGTATATTACCTGTAGTTTTGATGTTTGTGTTTTCCATTATTTCTATGGTTAGTATAAGGCAGTGGGTTCCAAACTGTGTGTCATGGCACGTTGCTAGGGGTGTTGTGAGAGTTTTGCTAAACAAAGAGTAATTAAGAACGTAATATGTATAATATCATTATAAGAGGTTTAATGGTATTTCTTTGATTTCTGAACCAAACTTTGCTGATGACCCTTGAATGGGTAAAACTGCGGTCCACAGCAGAGGATACGGCCAGTCAAAGAATGCATTAGGCCTCTATGTCACAGATGCTCTTTTAAATTTCATCTCTAGTGAAAAAGAAATCTTTAACATGTTCATACAATAAAGAAAATAAAAAAAATATTGCACATAGTAGCAGTGGTGTCGTACAAGTCGAGGTACGTTTGTTAGGGTGTCATCAGTGAAAAAAGTTTGGAAACAACTGGTATAAGTTTTTGTGGTGTAGTTTTTGCACTTTTTTTCTTTGTTTGTGTAACTAACTTCTGTAGATTTTTTGTGAATATTTTGTATTTGGTTGTTAGTGATGTTTATTAGGTTTTCTGTTGTCTATTTTGAGTTTTTAGGAAGAATTTGGTAGCTTTTTTTAAATATTTTGTAAATTTATGTATCTTAAATTGTTTTTAATTTTAACCTGTGTGTTTTCGATGTCACAATAACCTAAAGTTTTTCTATGTAGTTCCACATCAGGATGCCATAAATCCTTTCTTGATGTTTTTCATTTACTGTTATCATTCCCTTTTATCCCATCCTTTTTCACTTAACTCCTGTCTTTGTGTAACCCCCCAAAAAAACTACGTCTTTTTTTTTTTAAGTGTCTCATTTAGTTCTGTTTTCAATATTAATTTGTTTGATTTGTGTTTTGTTGGTATTTTAGTTCATTTTGATTTTGTTTTTAGTGGCATCCTGATATGGCACTCTTTCCATAGAAAGATTGAGAGCTTAAAGCATCAAGACCAGACAGGATTTTAAAGGAGGTCAAAGATCAAGCATGTAAATATCTCATTTTTGGTAGTGAGCAGTTATAAAAAAAGGAATAACTTGTTTTAATTTATAATCAATATGTTTATAAATGTATTTTAATGTTCTATTAGCTCTACTACTAACAACAGAACACTGCTTTGCAGGCTTGAATGAGGTATTTAACAATATATCCAGATCCCATTCTTTAGTCACATTAATGAGTCATTCTATAGTAGACAGACCCGCTTACTGATACAATTTTGCTGTAACTGCTACGTAAAATGCTCTTCTGCTATGGTCATTTTGAAATAGTTATGGCAACTATGAGGTCGTATGGTGTACATGGTTTGTTCCAAGTCTTCTTATTCACTTGATTCCTCTGTGCACATCTGCCTGTAAGCTCTGTTGTGCATATGCATACTTTCCACCAAATAAGTTTGGCACAAACCACATTCTCTGTACTCTGAGCCAGTTAGAAGATAGTATCTGTGCTACCGACGAATCCCCTATCGCTATGGAAAATTGACCAGTTGATAAGCAAACGCTACTGAGAACAATCTTTATGGGTAGGCAGGTCTGAGTAAATCAACATCCTCAATAGAGCTAGAAATACCAAATAATTTCATGTCATCAGCTTACTTTACCAGTTTACCAATTATTCCTCGGTCAGTACCATTATTACAGATAAGAGAATGCAAAGACCCTAGCACGAACTCCTGAGGCACACCACTAGTAACAAAGGTCCAATTTGACTGGACTTCATTAATAACTTTTTGCTTTCTTTCATCCCATCACCTTTAATCCAGTTAACTGGTCTTACCCCAATCCTGTCAACGTGATTTTCTCAGTTATTCTTTAGTGTGACACCTTATCAAAAGCCCTCTAAAAATGAAGTACGTAAGTCCAGACTTTTCTATCATACAGATAACCATTAACATTCTCAAAAAAAAAGTTCACAACCTAGTAAGGCAAGATTTTTAAATATAGTAATGTAGAGAGTGAAAACGTCACTACTTAAATCGAAGGATACAAACTGAAGGGGAAAAAAAGAAAGGTTCTTTTAATTAAAATCAACTTGTTACATTTTCTACCTCTCTGATTGGTTGTTACACATATAATATGCAGATTGTTTAATTCTCTGAACTATTAAACTGCCATTTTGTGAAACTTTTATAATAGTTTTAAATTATTGTATTTCTATCTTTCTCTCTGAATACTGCTTACAGTTTGAGAAGTGTGTAGAATTTTAAGAATGTATCATTTTTATTTCTGCTCAAAAACGGTGTGTTGTATTTCCAAATTTCACAATCTCACTGTATTTCCTTTTTTTTTCAGTGCATATTGTAATCACTCGTACTTTAGCTAAACAATAAAACGTATTCAGAATTTAAAGAAAGATCATGTTTACGTGGAAAAAAACTCAACTTCCATCTCGTCCTGAAATTCCACCAATTGATGATATTTTGAAAGATTTAGAAAATGTTATGAAGGATGATGTTGTAATATCTGTATCTCCAACATCCTTATGTTCACATTCTCTATCAGGTGGGAATTTTATTATTATTTATCATCATGAAAGGTAAGTCTACTGAGAAGAATTATTTTAATCATATAAAATCATATACATTTATATGACCTATTATAACCTGAATAAAAATCTGTATTATTATTTCTATTTTACCCTTTGATGCCAATATGGATGTAACTGAATTACAAAAAAATAAACATTGTCATTTTTCCACATGCTTTTTTTTTAAATGCTTTGGAGCTGAAATTAATTCATTAAAAACCTTATTTATTTATTTCCTGTGTTAATAATTTGGCACTCATAACTCACTAGAAAGAAAGTGTAGTTTCATTGATTTTTTCCAATCTGTTTTTAAACTCAGTTGTCATTGTAATATAATTGTCTATATCTCAGTCTTGAGGCTTTGATCTAAACACAAGATGAAAGCTCTTTCTCTGCTCCTTTCACCTATATAAGTCACTGTGGCTTTCAATTCAGAAGAGACTCGTGTAGAGATCGGAACAAAGTATTAAAAGCTTAGCTTGATGATATGTTGCTAGGCTTAGCTTGGTGATACGTTGCTAGGCATAGCTTGGTGATATGTTGCTAGGCTTAGCTTGGTGATACGTTGCTAGGCTTAGCTTGGTGATATGTTGCTAGGCTTAGCTTGGTAATATGTTGCTAGGCTTAGCTTGATGATATGTTGCTAGGCTTAGCTTGGTGATACGTTGCTAGGCTTAGCTTGGTGATACGTTGCTAGGCTTAGCTTGGTGATATGTTGCTAGGCTTAGCTTGATGATACGTTGCTAGTAGAAAAGATGTTTGTGAACAGCTTTCAACAAGATTACCGTCCATGTTTTTTAAAGCTTGCTTTGTCATCTTATACTTCATTTGAATTATGATTTACAGTTTGATAAGAAATGTTTTTTTTTTTTTTGTGGAACAAGATGAGATTAGTTCAGTTATATCAATTTGCATTCAACCATATCAAATTTTGTTTTGCCACTAAGGCTGCTGTTGTTAGGCTGTGTTTACATCAACCCATCTTGTTATAAATAAGTGCTCAAATGGGCAAAGTAAATTACAGAAACAAAATGTAAAAGAATATATATAAAAAGACATAAAAAATGTGTTTAAAACTTATTACACAAATGAAATTAAACTTTCTCATTAACAATAAAAAAAAATTGGACTTGCTTATAATTTTGATATGGTAAAAAATGTTGTTTTTGTTGTACACCAGGAATCATAAAGAGAGTGAAACTAAATTTCTGTTTTTAGAATTGAAACAAAGATGAAATTTATTCATATAAAATAAAAACTTTTAATGGAAAGTTTTACAAGAATATAGGAAGACAAAAATCAGTAATAAAAATTGCAACAAAGGTAAGCCTTTCCTGTTTCGTAAACAAATCACAATGAAATCTTTTATTTTTTACTTTTCAGAGTTAAAAATTCCTATAAATATCACATATAAAAGTAAGATATTTTTGAGAAGCTATATAGTCTTTAGAAAGTTTGTTCCAAGTTTCAAACTATTTCATCAAGTAGTTTTTTGCAGTGTAATACAACGAACTAAACAACAGGGTGCATTGATTCAATACACTCTTGTGGTTTAGATTTAAGAAAGATTACATAAAGTTTACATTAACATTCGAAACAGATGTTTTTTTTGTGACTCGTGAAAAAGTAGTCTTATTAATATTTTTTTTCTTCTGTACTTGCAGAAAGCTCTGGACATCTGAGTACGTCCAGCCAAAGTGAAGCAGAAAGTAAAGATACGGTTGATATTCAAAACAAAGATTCTTCATCCTTCAGTGATAGTGACCTAGAGCCTGAGGAGGCATTTCAAAAAGTATTTTTTTTTTAAACATTTATAATAAAATTGCAAATTAACTGAGCTTAGCGAGGAAACAAAGTATGGAATTTTGTTTGTTTTCAAACGACTACGTACTTCGAGGTATAGATCTTTTTCTGAGATTTGGACAATCATTTTGATTTCATGTTTTCTTGGTAATTTTTAAAATTAGGAATCACTAACCAAAATGCTGATTAGAAGTTTGAAGATAAAAATATTTGAGTAGCTTGTTTAGTAATATAGGTGCAAAAAAGAATGTAAAGTAGAGTGTAAGAATTGAGTGAAAGATTATCAGGGATGTGTCCGGATTAACAGGTAAAGCAGTTACATTTGTGATGCAGGTGGAAATGAGTTTTAATTTTAGGGAAGTTGTTGAGTGGTTCTGCTTTCACCGTATAAAGTTCAAGAATTCCTTGAGTTTATGGGAAATTCTTTTTTCCACTTGGAATATGAAAGTTCCTACTAAAAAAACAAAATCCTATTGTTTAAGTTTTTGTAAAGTATGATTACAAATTTAGTTGAGCAACATCAGTACTAGAAATCGTAGTGCCATTACCCATGGAGGTTTTTACTGAAATACTTCTAGAGTAAAGAATTATGTCCCGGACTTTACAAAAGTGTGTGAGAAGAATGTTAATGGAGTTGGGGATATTTTTACGTATTCAGTCAAGCCAGCTGTAAAGGAATGTATTGAACTAAAAGCATTTTCCTAAATGGGTGAATAGAAAAAAAAACAAACTCAAATGTAGCTGAAAAATGCTTAGGTTACAAGAACATGAAATTCTATAGTAAAATTGTAATTTTTGTGGTTCATAAAAATAAAATAAAAAGACATATATTATTCTATGAGTAATTGTGATAGTCTTATAACGCAACACGTCAAATTTGATGTGAAAGAACTGAGAAACTGTAATCCTATTTACACGTATCATGTCTTCTACTGTTGGCAGAGTTTTGGGATATGTTGGATGTAGAAAAACATTCAGGTAACTGATATTTTGGCCTGACAGTAACTAGTCTCTTTTATTAGGCCTAAATAAATAATTTTTTGCTTTGTCATTATACTACTTGAAACTGACATTTAATTAATGGCTCTCGGCAAAGTTTTTAAAATAGGGTTTCTGTGATTTACCAATTTATTTTTTATAGGACTTGTGCCATATGTATCATGACCTTAATAAAAAACTTTTTAATAAATTGGGTGCTTATGGAAGTAATGGATAAAACTAAAATGGGGACAAAAATATAACATGCAAATTTAAGTTTTATTTTTTGCCTCACACTTTTTTCCTTTTAGATTCTTACTTTTTTGTTTATATTTCATTTGAGAGAACCTTCTATATTGAAGGAGTTTCTTCTAGGAAATGCTTTTGTAAAGATAACAGTTATGTGATTGACACATCTTTGGTAGTCTGTATGACATTATAAATAATTTAAAATTACCATTTTTGCATGTGATCATCCAGTACTTTTAGTACTTACACATTAGTGAAAAGTAATCTTAATTAGAAAAGGCCACTATGAAAATTTCCCTCCATAAACTTGAAATTTTGTGAACAGTTAATGTTTGTGATTTTTGCTTCATTGAACATTTATAAAAAAATGTGTCACTATTTCATAATATTCCCATAAGTTAGTTAAGATATAATAAAGATGTTTTTTTTTAGCAAGAAATGATTAAATTAATTTTTTTTTCAGGTAAAGCAGTTTTTTGATTTAAATAAAAAAATTGAGAAAAGTCTCGAACTGTTACAATGTCATACAGACAAGCTTCAAGATGTTACTGAACACCTGAGTGAAGAGATAGCTGTGATAAGTGATTCTGTCCATTCTGTAACGTGAACATCAAGTAAGTTCTGCCTTAGATGGTTTTTTGTTTTCAATTTTGATGTATTTTGGTAACTTAAACATTTAGGGCAGTGGTTCCACATCTTTTTAACTTTATGGACCATCAGACCTCCGTAAAAAACTTGTGAACTACAAGAAGTATGTAAACTTGTAAGGTATTTGACCAAAAGATATGAAGTACATAGAATATATATAATCACATACACAGTGTAGCAAAAACAAGTTCGAAAGGATTTAACATTTTAATAATATGAATATTTAGTCAAAAAGAATTACATAAAATTTCATTTAGCAATTATTAAACACTTATTTTTTCCCCCACAAGGTGTTTCTCAGGATCGGCAAACACATTTTTGTGGACCACTTGTTTAGAACCACTGAACTAGGTTACATGTCAAATGATATAACGAATTATTGTTTTTAAATTAAAGGGTTACTCTTTTGATTTCTGTTAACTTTAAATTTATTATTTTTACTTTGCTAATGGAATTTTTGTATATAAGCTCAGTCATTTTGACCGACCTTGTAACCACCAGGTAATCGTGAAAGTGCATGTACTATAGCGTTTAATGAAGTAATTGGATCTTCATGAAATTTGTCCAACTTTTAGTAAACATTACAAGTCTTTTGTATGCAAAAAAATCAGGTATTTTTACTAAAGATTTGTCTGTAAATTTATGGAGTCAGAATTTGACTTGGACTCGGACAAGGTGATTTTCATGTTAAGATTAAAAATACCTTTTCATCTTAAAATGTTATATCTTATCTGTTATTTTCTCTACCCTAACACTACAGGGACTAGGTCCATTTGATAGACCTTGTAGCCACCACAAAAAATATGAAATAAATCTAAGTTACTCTCTTTTTTTTTTTCTTTTTTTGTTTTACTAGAATGACTGCAGATTGTAACAGAAAATTACAATTATTTATCTTAAACAACCTCAGGCGCATAACAGTTTACACCTGTTTTTATTTAATTTCATTGCTTTATTGCTATTTTAAACCTGGGTAACAAGCTCTAAACAACACTACAAATGTTTAGCTCAAGTTAAGGCATTGAATTATGTAGCTCATGTGCAGCTCATATGATAATTTTTTTATTGAACTTTTTTTTTCATTTAGGTTTTCTTATATAACCTTAGAAGTTTCTAATTTTTACATTTTAGTGCCAACTGAAATAACATAACCTAATAACATAATGTTTAGGGGACAACAAGGGATCTATTGGCCTATCATGGCTGTCCCATCCTTTAAACAAAAACTGTTAGTAATGCCTACTGAAATAACATAACCTAATAACATTATGTTTAGGGGACAACAAGGGATCTATTGGTTAACCTAGGGTGTCCCATCCTTTAAACAAAAACTGTTAGAAATGCCAACTGAAATAACATAACCTAATAACATAATGTTTAGGGGACAACAAGGGATCTATTGGTTAACCTAGGATGTCCCATCCTTTAAACAAAAACTGTTAGAAATGCCTACTGAAATAACATAACCTAATAACATAATGTTTAGGGGACAACAAGGGATCTATTGGTTAACCTAGGATGTCCCATCCTTTAAACAAAAACTGTTAGAAATGCCAACTGAAATAACATAACCTAATAACATAATGTTTAGGGGACAACAAGGGATCTATTGGTTAACCTAGGGTGTCCCATCCAATAAACAAAATTATACTATTATAAAAACACCTCAAAGCCAGCTCTTATTATTCATATAGTTATCAAGCTTTCGCCTAAACTAACTTAAATTAGAAAAACAAAACTGTCTTACCTGAAGATTATTAGTACCGTGCCAAAATTTATATTTGTGTCCCCTAGTCCTACCATTCTCACCATTAAGTATGATGCATCAACACTATCAATTCCCTTAATCTTAAAATACTTCAATCAGATCCCTTCTAACTCTTCTATTTCCAAGAGAAAACAATTTCAGAAGGTATAAACAATATACTTGCATGTATACAAGACCACCTTCATCTTGTTAACTTGTATTGTTTTAATTTAGGCAACATTAAACACACATTCTGTTTAGTTCTAAAAACAGGTTTTTCAAATTTCACCCAGAAAACCATGAACAGTATTATAATAGGCAGTATTCTTTCACCCAATGTGTATTGATGTGGGTCAAAGTGTGCATTCCATCATCTTTTAAAGAGTATTATGTATTTTGTGTCATTTATCAATTATTCATTTAGCCTACATTGCTGATTTTGTGTCAGTTCGTGGTAAAGGAGAGGAAATACCAGATGCAATATACAGGGATGACAAAAAAAAACAACTAGATAAGCATGTCAGTGGTTCTAGAAGCTATGCAAACTGTACGATGGACAAAAATAGTTTTGTTTTTCACATGAACATCACCTTGCATTTCGACATATCAGATTTATGACATCAATTCACAGACATATCTTGAGTACAAATACTTTTGTAACACATCTGATTTTTGTGTACAACAGACTTGTGCATTTTACCACAAGCCTGCCATAGTTTGTGTAGATAAAAATAGTAAAATGAAAATTATATGTTACATTTCTTCTCCAATATGGAGGATGGTTAAATATCAACAGTGTTTTAATCATAATTATATAATATATTTTGTTATTTCAAACCTTTCTGTGGTGCTACAGTAGTACTTTGTTCAATGTTCTACCATTAGAAACCTAACTAATAAAATTAGACTATAAGAATTCCCTGATAAAGTCGTAAGATGAAATGTTGGAAGTAAAGTAAAAGTAAAAAGTAAGAACTTTTTCTGGAGTTCAGGATATTTTTATTTGTATTTCATTATGTATTTGGATCTCAAATATCCACCAGTGGTAAATTTCTAGACTCACAACACTAAAATCTGAGGTTTGATCTCCTTTGTTGGACAGAGTGCAGAGATTCATTTGTGTAGATTTGCACTAAAAAAACAACCAACCAGTATGTGCATAAAAAATGTTCTAGTAAACTAAATGTATTTGATTGAATTAACCTAGTTTAGTGTTATGCCCTAATTGATAAAACTAAACTGAAAACTATTTGTTTAGATCAATTTGATGTTGTTTTATTCTCCTAATGACTGTGTTAAATTTTTTGTGGTGTTAAGTTCATTGCCTTGCCATTAGGATGCACTAAATAAAAAAAAAACTGTAAATTTAGGATAAGTTCTTTATTCTCTGCAAGTTTATCAAAATGTTTAAATGTATCAGTGTAGTTTATAAAGTCAGTAAACCAAACTCTGTTAAATTTCTCAGTATCTGACTGGAGAGAGAGAAGTTAGAAGCAAAATGGTATAAATTAATAAATGTTTGTCAAATGCGTGAACTGTGTAACAGTTCATATGTTCTGTAATAGTTTGGCCGGTAAAACAAATAGTAATAATAATTTTTGATCAGTTATTCAGAGGTAAAGTGGAAGAAGAATCAAATTTGAAAACTCAAGTTTGTTCAATGTTTAAAGAACATGATCAGGGTATTTTGAGGTCCTGAGAATAGTAAAGGAACCTAAACTGATTTTGCTACGTTATATTCACACTCACTATAATGTAATTTCGTTTCAGGTCATCGACTGATTATCAAGCAGACAAAAAAAAATATAATACAACTGAAAATGACAAGTTGAAATATGGGAGAAAAGGTTATGTTTGAAATGGATTTTCAATGAAAGGAGTACGTTAAGAACAGAGGAAATATTAAATATTGAAACAGATCCAACGTTTTCTTCCTGTAGAGTTTTATGTCACAAATAATTGTGTAAAAAATTATATCTTAAGAGTTCCTTACTTAATGAAGACATCTACCATGACTGTTGTAAGTTTATTTTAAGTTGAAACTGCATTATTTGCTTAATACTTTTTTAAAAATTCACCATCAAAGAATATTGCCATGAAATGTGATTAACAGTTTTTGATCAAATGTGTTTAGAAAGTAAACTTTTTAGAACAGTAACTTTTCGATATTGTACAAATGGCTCAGTTGAGAATAAACTTTATTCATATTAAGTTAACTTTTTGATACAACAAAAAAGTCATTGCATACATGAATCAGATGGTCTAGCTACTTGGAAGTTCACTTATCTCTCAATAGATGGAGAAAAAATTAAGAACAATATTTGGAAGTTCAGTTATCTCTCAATAGATGGAGAAAAAATACTTGGAAGTTCAGTTATCTCAATAGATGGAGAAAAAATACTTGGAAGTTCAATTATCTCTCAATACATGGAGAAAAAATACTTGGAAGTTCAGTTATATCTCAATAGATGGAGAAAAATTTGAGAACAAAATACTTGAAAGTTCAGTTATCTCAATAGATGGAGAAAAAATTAAGAAAAAAATACTTGGAAGTTCAGTTATCTCTCAATAGATGGAGAAAAAAGTACTTGGAAGTTCAGTTATATCTCAATAGATGTAGATACAAATAATAAGGAAAAATACTTGGAAGTTCAGTTATATCTCAATAAATAGAGAAAAAATTAAGAAAAAATACTTGGAAGTTCAATTATCTCTCAATAGATGGAGAAAAAGTACTTGGATGTTCAGTTATAACTCAATAGATGGAGAAAAATTACTTGGAAGTTCAGTTATCTCTCAAGAGATGGAGAAAAAATACTTGATAGTTCAATTATCTCTCAATAGATGGAGAAAAAATTAGGAAAAATACTTGGAGGTTCAATTATCTCTCAATAGATGGAGAAAAAGTACTTGGATGTTCAGTTATAACTCAATAGACGGAGAAAAAATTAAGAAAAAATACTTGATAGTTCAATTATCTCTCAATAGATGGAGAAAAAAATTAGGAAAAAATACTTGGAAGTTCAGTCATCTCTCAATAGATGGAGAAAAGGTACTTGGATGTTCAGTTATAACTCAATAGATGGAGAAAAAATTAAGAAAAAATACTTGGAAGTTCACTTATCTCTCAATAGATGGAGAAAAAATTAAGAAAAAATACTTGAAAGT